CCCGCCGCCCGCCGCTGCCGCCGCTGTCAGATGACCCCTGGGAACCGCCGTCCCGCTGCTGCCCCGGCGCGGCGGCGGCGGCGCCGCCGCCGCCGTCCCCGGGAGATAGCCGCGCCGCCGCCGCGCCCCGCGCGCCGGCCTCCTCCTCCGCCGCCGCGTCGCCATTCGGCGTGCGCGCGTGCGGCGCTGCAGCGGCGGGGGCGGAGGGGATCCCCAGCACCTTGCACGCGTTGTCCATCTGATCTGCGCGGCAGATCGCGACGCTGGGCACGTGCCAGCAGGTGTAGATCAGGTCTGTATCCAGCACCGAGGCGGCAAACACAACATAAAACGGCTTCATCCTCGACGGCTTGGCCAGCTGCAGGTCGTTGAATACAAAGTCGTGGCTGCAGCACCCAGACGCGGCGCCGCCTGCTGCCCACGCCGCCGCGGGGCCCGCGCGGCGCGCGGCGCCGCCGCCACCGCCGGCGGCACCCCACGAGCCCGAGCTGTCGGCGTCGTCGCCGCTCGCTACGCGCTGCGGCGCGCCGGCACCGGCACCGGCGCGGAACTGGTGTGTCAGGCAGACGCTGCCCCTGAACTCAGTGGAGCAGCCCCTCCTGGGCTCCAGGTCCTGCACGAACTCGGGCGGCACCCACCTGTCGACAGTTCGAATTTAAATTTGAAAACGACAGACGGCGGCGGGCATGGCAACTCAGATCACGAATCGGGGGCGCCGGACTGCAGGGGCAGATCCCCATCAATCCCCCAGAGGGACGCGCGCCCCGTCCAAGGTTGATGACGAGTGATCTGAGATCACGCGAGCCGCGCTCAACGCACAGCCGAGGCCCCTGGCTGCCCTCCCGCGCCCACCGTCCCCCATGTCAAAGGCAAGCGCGCTCGGCGCTGATGCGGCGGCGCTCACTCGTGGATGCTGTTTGCGGCCTCCCGGTCAACTATGTAGGCTTTGACCGTGAACGGGAACTCCAGGGCGCCTGCGTGGTGCGCCTTGACGCGCACGCGGAACGGCGGGGAGATGCGCCTGTGCGGGCGCAGGATGGGCGGGGGGCGGGGAGGGGGTGACGCTCTGCGGGGCGGGACACACAGCCGGTCGCGCGAGCCCGGGGCCTGCTGGGAGCTTGATCGCACGTAAAGCGGCCCCACCCCCTTTCCGGTTCTCCTCCCTGCTTTCGCTAGACGGCCCTCGCCGGGTGGAGGCGGCGCACGAGAGGCGCGGCCTCCCTTGATGCCGCCGCGTGCCGAACGCATTCCGCCGCGGGCAGGGGTGCCTGTTCTCCTGTTCTCAAGCTGACAGATGGGGGCAGCATCCAGCGCATCCTCCCCACAGTTCTCAAGCCGAAAGTGGTTTTCTCACTTGTCGGTGCGCATGGGGGCGCACAGCTCGGCGGGAGCCTCCACGACACGCATGGAGAGGTGCGTTGGCGCGCCGCCGCCAGCAACAGCGGCTGCAAACTGGGTGGACAGCTGGGAGGGGTCTGACGCGATGAGCTCTTGGACGCACTGCAGCAGTGTCGGGGTGTGGGCGTGGATGCAGACGGGAATCGGAGGCCAGTGGCATGTATGTGTTTGTAGTTGTGTTTGTGTTTGTGTTTGTCTGTGTGTGTGTGTGTGTGTGTGTGTGTGTGTGTGTGTGTGTGTGTGTGGAGGGGGTGTAGATGAAAAATGTCTTGGAGGAGCGGTGTTTGTGTGTGATCCTCAAGTCACAAATGGTTGCAATCAGTAGGCAGCCCCGGGGTTTGGGTGACTGTTGATGCGCAGGGCGACGTGAGTGCGCGGCTGCTGGAATGCCCGGCGGCGCTCGCCTGGTGGCTGCATGCCAGGTTCCAGCCGGGCAGGCCTGGGGTGGCCTCCTCCTGACAATTGTACCGCACGTAGGTCGACTGTCACCGCTCGGGGTCTTGATATGGGGGTCAAGGGGGCGGCGATCAGCGCAGCCGGTTGAGGGTGACCGGGAAGGGTCCCTTCATCGCACATGCAGCGCGGGTGGCCGCAGCGACGGCAGCAGTTGCGGCAGCGATAGCTGCTCATTTTTTGTGTTGAGCTTGTGCCACGTCTTTTTCACGACCCTTCTCCACGCGTTGCCCGAGGGGTTCGCCGCAGGCCTCGCACCTGGCATCGCCCCCCTCGCTCGCAAGACTCCCTGAAGCTGCTGAGTCCAGTAGGGTGGAATCAAACTCCCGCTATCTGACATGGTGTCGCGCACTTTTGCGCTCTCCGCCCGGCTTGTCAACGAGCCATCTGCACAGAGTTTCACTGCGAGCAGGATCCCGGGTGATGGCTGAACGTGGGCTGCTCGATACTGCTAAATATCAAAACCATGTACTTGGTGCCGCTAGAACGCCGTGGTCTCTGCACCAACCTCAACAAGGCCCAGCCATCATGATCAACGCGTCCATTCCGGTATGTTTAGACGAGAGACCTGTACAATACTGCGTGATGACGTGATGAGATAGACATTCATTTGAAAGCTCTCCAAGGACAACAGCCGTCCGGGCAGTAAGCGCGACATTGTCGCAAGTGTCATGACACATCGACGGCCACCGTCGATGAGGCACTCGATGAGCGGGTGGCGACGCCAGCGGGTGACACCGCCCCAGATGCTGCTTTTCGGCTGAGAGTTATCCTGGACTAAGTAAGCAGCGGTGACAGGGGCCAGCCTGCAGCTCCTGACTGCGGTGGCTCGCTCTGCTGCGCTACGTGCCTGCTGAAGGCCCGGGGTTGGGCACCTCGCCTCCTGCGGGACGAACGCCGAAGCGAGCCGCAAAGCTGGGAAGGGGCGGCCTCAACATGCACGGCGGCGCGATGGGCATAGAGACCCCACCGCGCCTCTTAGCTCCGCACACACGCTGTCCCGCGCAATTCAGCCGATTGATACCGGCAGCACTTCTAGTTATTGCGCCAACCGCACCCTATGCCGTGGCCCTGCCTTTTTCAGACAAACACGGGCTTTGAGCTCCGGGCTCTTGCTGCCTGCCACTCTGCCACCCCTCTGAGAGCGCATGCTGCAACCACAACCTTGGGACCCCGTGCAGCGGAATCCCGCCTCAAAACCCATTGCCGAGGTGCTCACAACTCGCCGGCTGCCTCCGTCGTTCCGGACCCCTGTTTGACAAAGACGACTTAATAGGCCTTGACCAGACAATTGACCACTCAACCCTTACAAGATGAACTTGCAGCCGCCAATCACCTGCCAAGCCCTTGGGACGTGCGCGGCGTTACTGGCCCGGCAGGAGCTGGCAGCTGGTCCCAGTTGCCACGGCCGTCCACGGCCCAGCTGGCCCCGCCGGCGCGACGGCCCGCCGGCGCTACCCGAGGCGCGCCCCCGCGGCTCAAAGGGCGCTTGGATGCAAATCGTTGGGTTCCAAGTCTCTCCCAAGCTCGGCCGTTTGACCGGCCCGACGGACCCCGGCTTCCCCTACTCTCGCGGCCCCAGAAGATCTGCGAGGGTCTTGCCGCCCGCCGGCACCTGCTCCTGCTGCTCCACCCCCAGCAACTTGGAGAGCCACTCGGGGGTCTTCTGCTTGCCGTTCTGCGGGGGCCGGGCGGAGGCGGCGATTTCGGAGGCGGTTTCGTTGGGAATTGGTGGGAATCATGGAGGCAGGTGGGTTAGGTTAAAAAGGGTTCTGATTTCACGGGAAGCCCTGGCAACGGCAACGACAGGGGGGAGGCCAGGGCGCGAGCCAGCGGCCGCAATCTACACGGCCGCAACATTGGCCGCAGGCCCGTGGCGGCACCAATTTTCCCGGAACAAACGCGAGACAGGGAATGCCCCGCGCGTTGCGTGGGCACTCCCGTCAACGGCGCCAGCCGCGGTGCAGGCCCAAGCCGGGTGTGGGGTATACGCGGCGGCCCCGCCCGCTCGGCCAGGCTTTCTCCAGCCCCGGGCCCCCCGCAGCCCTGGCCCCTGCTGGCAGCACGGCCCCTGTCCGTCTCCTCACGTTAGTCATCCCGGGGATCAGGCTCAGCCCGCCGCAGTCCCCGATGCCCAGCTCCGCCTGACGGTAGCAGTACCTGGGAGGTTTCATTGATGGGAAGCTGGGGTCAGGGGAAAGGGTCGGCGCGGCGCCGCCGCGACTCAGCGCCCAAGGTGCGGAGGAAGGGGCCCCGCCCGTGTCCGCAGCCGCGAGGGGGCAGCGCACGCCCCTTGCGGCCCGGCCGCTGGCATGGCGCGGGGCGGCAAGCGGCGAGCGCGCCCTCACTTGTTCTCTATCGCCTTCTTGTTCTGTTTCAGGGGCGGAGGAGAGACAAGTGGCGGCGTAAAGGTTCTCTTATATACACCTCAGGAGTCCATCTGTCGGAGAATGGGCCAGCCACCACTGCCCCCGCATGGCTTAGCCACACATGCATGTGTGCATGTACTCACGCAAGTGCGAACATATGAGCATGCATGCGCTTGCAAGCATGCATGCGAATGCAAGCATGCATGCCGGGTGCCCTCGTGCCGCCGCGGCAGGCAGCCTAACGTCATGGCACAGCCCCACGCCGTTTGGGGCCCGCACCTTTGCCCTGTTCGCTTCTGAGCGCTCCCGCAGCAGTTTCAGGGTCTGTGCGGGTGAAAAATGCAGGGCGACGGGATGCCGCTGTCATCAGAACACCCGCAGCCGTGGCATGAGTAGCGCACACTGGCACGGGGTTGGATGACAAGGGGACATCGCCGCGGGAGAGGCAGCGCCGCCGCGCCACACACCACCAGCCAGGCGACCTGCGACGCGCGGCGGGCGGGCCCGGCGTGACGGGCCCGCCGTCTGCCCCCGACAGCTGCTGGGCGCCGCGGCGAGGGGTTTGGCCGTGCCGTGCCTTTGAAGACTAAGGACTACGTGGGGACCCGCCGCACCTCGGACTGCTGGAAGGACTGCTCGGCGGCGTCCAGCTTGCTGCGCTGGGCGTCTGGATGAAGAGCGTGTGATGGCCCGAAGAGTGTGTGATGGGCATGATCGGGCGTGAGAGCGTGGAGGGGCTGCATGCGTGCATGCATGGGCGCGCATGCATGTCGCCTGAGAAATTTCATGTCATGCATGGCAGGGACATGTGCCATTCACCGCAGGCGGGCATGCTGCTGCATGCAATCAGCCCCGCTGACGGGGCGCGCCGTAGAGCAGCGCAGATCTAAGGGGGTCAAGGGGTCGCACCTGTCAAGCCTGCGAACAGGCCTCCCTCCTCTGCGTGCACGGGGCCACTCGTCAGCACAAGAAGCGCCGCCGCGGCAGCGCCCAGCATTGCTGGGCCAGGCCGCCGCTGGGGCTCGTGCTGCTGCTGTGAGCGCCCGGCATCAGTCGCGATCTTGCGGGTGGCCGTGCAGCGCACGCCGCGCCGCAGATCAGCGGGCTTCGTGCTTATTCTGCCTGCCAAACAGGTGCAGGAGGCGCGCATGCTTGCTTGTGTGCTGCGATCTCAGGTGTAGAGGTGACAAGGAGCGAAACGCTCGCTCTTGTTTCGCTTTAAACACACGCTCAATTGTGACAAGCGTGGTGATTGCTGCTGTATCAATGAGCATGTAACTTGCACACATTCGTCCTGCTGCTGACCACCCGTGCCTCCATACAGACCCGGCCCCTCTTCCAATGCTCCTCCAGGGCCAGGCATCCTCACGGTCATGCCGCGTAGGACCTCATAGCCCCGCGTTAGCATCGCGGCATGTCCCCGCCGCGCATCGCCCCGCGCGCCGCTCACGGCTTGCGGCAAGCGCGGCGAGCGTCGACGCCGCCGCTGCGTCGCCCGCATCAGATGAGGACCTCATGGCCGCCCAATCTGATGCGTTTGAGGAGCTTGTACGGATGGCAGTCGAGAAGGATCCATCCCTAGCCCCCCTGGCCGAGCAGCACCTGAAGGCGAAAGCAGAAAAGCAACAGTCGCCGTTCGCCGCCGGCGGCGCCGCCACGCTCAACGCCCGCGGCGCGAGCTCAATGCTCGGGCCGGCCCTGGCGGCGCTGCCGAGCTCGAGCAAGCCCCCGTGGCTGCGCCAGCGCGCGCCGCAGGGGGAGCGGTACACAGAGCTGTTTTCACAGATGCGGGAGCTGAAGCTTGCGACCGTGTGCGAGGAGGCGCAGTGCCCAAACATCGGCGAATGCTGGAACGGCGGCATGGGTGAGCGGGGCCCGGGGGGGGGGGGGCGCTGTCGCACGAACTAGGACGCACGCTGCGCGGAGCGCGGGCGGGAGCCCACGACTCCTGCCCGCCCGCCCGACCGGCTGGCTGATGCCGGTCATCGTCGTTGCATGCACCCCTCAGCTGACGACACGCAATGCGCCGCCCCTGCTGCCCCCAGCCACCGCCACCATCATGCTCCTTGGGGACACCTGCACGCGCGGCTGCCGCTTCTGCGCCGTGAAAACGGCGCGCGCGCCGCCGCCACCGGACCCTCTGGAGCCCACAAACACGGCGGCGGCGGTGGCGAGCTGGGGGGTGGGGTATGTGGTGCTGACTTCAGTTGACAGGTGTGAGCGCGCGTGGAGTTTGGGAGTGGGTATGCGTGTGTGTGTGTTTGTGTATGTATGCTTGTGTGTGAGAGAGAGTGAGTCTGCGCATGTGAGTGTCTGTGTCTGTGTCTGTGTGCGTGCATTTATGAGTGAGCGAGAGAGCGCGCGTTTGCGTGCGCACGCACGTGTGCGTATGCGTGTTTGTGCGTGATGTCAAACGTAGGAACGTGAACACGTGCATGTCACGCACGGCAGGTGGGCGCTGCGAATCGACGGCTGCTGTTTTGGGTCCAATGCACAGACGCGGCATCGCATCATGTTCGCTGCTTTCGCCAATTGGGTGGCCCTGCCGCGCCGGCCACGCCTGCCCGGCGGGGCGCGAGCGAAGGGACTGTGGCAGCGCGCCGCAGCCCCCCACCCAGCGCCCACAGACAAGGAGCAGCCGACCTACAACCTTGCACGCCCCTTACACGATCCACCACAACTCCTCCCACCCCGCCC